AAATTTAAATACCTGGAGACAGATGAAAATGGAGACAGACAATCCAAAATCTATGGGATACAGCAAAAGCGTTTCTAAGAGGGAGGTTTATAGCGATACAAGCCTACCTCAGGAAACAAGAAAAACCTCAAATAGCAACCTAATCTTACAGCTTAAGGAATTAGGAAAAGAAGAAAAAACAAAACACAAAGTTAGTAGAAGAAAAGAAATAATAGAGTGGAAATAAATAAAATAGAGACTGAAAAACAATAGAAAACATCAATGAAACTAAGAGCTGCTTCTTTGAAAAAAAAAAAAAAAGAGATAAACCTTTAGCCAGACTCATCAAGAAAAAAGAGAGGGTCCAAATAAATAAAATCAGAAATGAGAGCAAAGACTGTCGCCATGTCCTGTCCACTGTCTGCTGCACATGGTGGGGTTTTGCTCCAGGACCTTGCTTCAGATGTGTAAGCTCCCCCATCCATTAAACCACTGATGTCTCTGAAACAAAAAAAAAGAAAGAAAGAAAGAAATGAAAGAGGAGAAGTTACAACTGACACCATAGAAATACAAAATATAATAAGAGACGACTATGAACCATTATATGCCAATAAAATGGACAAACTAGAAGAAGTGGATAAATTCTTATAAATGTACAATCTCCCAAGACTGAATCTGGAAGAAATAGAAAATATGAACAGACAGATTACCAGTAATTAAATTGAATCAGTAATTAAAAAATCTCCAAGTGGGCTTCCCTGGTGGTGCAGTGGTTAAGAATCTGCCTGCCAATGCAGGGAACATGGGTTCGAGCCCTGGTCTGGGAAGATCTCACATGCCGTGGAGCAACTAAGCTTGTGCACCACAACTACTGATCCTGTGCTCTAGAGCCCATGAGCCACAACTACTGAGTGCATGCCACAACTACTGAAGCCTGTGTGCCTAGAGCCCATGCTCCGCAACAATAGAAGCCACTGCAATGAGAAGCCTGCACACTGCAACGAAGAGTAGCCCCCACTCGCTGCAATTAGAGAAAGCCTGCACACAGCAACAAAGACCCAACACAGCCTTAATTAATTAATTAATTAATTAATTAAAAAAATCTCAAGCAAACAAAAGTCCAGGACCAGATGACCTCACGGGTGAATTCAACAAAACATTCAAAGAAGAATTAACCCCTATGCTTCTCAAATTATTTCAGAAAATTGTACAAGAAGGAATGCTTCTGAACTCATTCTATGAGGCCAGCACCACCCTGATACCAAGACCAGAAAAAACAGCACAAAAAGAAAATTACAAACCAATGTCACTGATGAACATAGATGCAAAAATCCTCAACAAAATAATGGCAAACTGAATTGAACAATACGTTAAAAGGTTCATACACCATGATCAAGTGGGATTTATCCTGGGGATGCAAGGATGGTTTAATATCCACAAATCAGTCATTGTGATACATCATATTAACAAACTGAAGAATAAAAATTAAATGATCATCTCAATAAATGCAGAAAAGGCTTTTGACAAAGTCAACGTTTATTTATGATAAAAACTCTCGACAAAGTGGGTATAGAGGGAACATACCTGAACAAAATAAAGGCCATATATGACAAATCCACAGCCAACATCATGTTCAATGATGAAAAGTTGAAAGCATTTCCTCTAAGATCAGGAATAAGACAAAGATACCCACTAGCACTACTTTTATTGAACATAATATCAGAAGTCCTAGCCACAGCAATCAGACAAGAAAAAGAAATAAAAGGAATCCAAATTGGAAAGGAAGAAGTAAAACTGCCACTGTCTGCAGATGACATGATACTATATATAGAAAATTCTAAAGATGCTACCAGAAAACTACTAGATATCATCAATGAATTTAGTAGAGTTTCAGGATACAAAATTAATATGCAGAAATCTATTGCATTTCTATACACTAACGACAAACTATCAGAAAGAGAAATTGAGAAAACAATTCTATTTATAATTGCATCAAAAAGAATAAAATACCTAGGAATAAATCTAACCAAATAGGTAAAAGGCTTGTACTCTGAAAACTATAAGGCATTGATGACTTTCTTCAGTTGAAAATGACACAAACAAATGGAAAGATATACCAAGCTCATGGATTAGAATAATTAATATTGTTAAAATGACCATACTACCTAAAGCAATCTACAGACTCAACTCAATCCCTATCAAAATAACAAAGGTATTTTTCACAGAACTAGAACAAGTAATTCTAAAAGACCCCAAATAGCCAAAGCAGTCTTGAGAAAGAAGGACAAAGCTGGAGGTATTATGCTCCCTGATTTCAAACTATACTACAAAGCTATGGGAATCAAAACAGTACGATACCAGCACAAAAACAGACACATAGATCAATGGAACAGAATAGAGAGCTTAGAAATAAACACACACTTATATAATCAATTAATCTATGACAAAAGAAGCAAGAATAGGGATTTCCCTGGCAGTCCAGCAGTTAAGACTCCATGCTTCCCCTGTAGGGCATGTGGGTTTGATCCCTGGTTGAGCCCATGCCACATGGTGCAGCCCCTCCCCAAAAAAGAAGCAAGAATATAAAATATGGAAAAGAGAGTCTCTTCAGTAAATGGTGTCTTTTCAAAAAATGGGAAAACTGGACATCTACATGCAAAAGAATCAAACTGGACTACTTTCTCACACTATATACACAATAACTCAAAATGGATTAAAGACTTAAATGTAAGACCTGAAACCATAAAACTTTTAGAAGAAAATATAGACAGTATGCTCTTTGACATCAGTCTTAGCAACATTATTTTGGATCCGTCTCCTCACTGAAGGGAAATAAAAGCAAAATTAAACAAATGGGACTACATCAAACTAAAAAACTTTTGCACAGTGAAGGAAACTATCAACAAAGTGAAAAGGCAACCTATTGAATGAGAGAAGATATTTGCAAATGATATATTTAATAAGGAGCTAATACCCAAAATATACAAAGAACTCATACAACTCAACATCAAAAAAAACAAACAACCCAATTTAAAAATGGGCAGAGGACCTGAATAGACATTTTTCTAAAGAAGACATACAGATGGCCAACAGACACATGGAAAGATGCTCAACATCACTAATCATTAGGAAAATGCAAATAAAAACCAGAATGAGATACCATCTCACACTTGTCAGAATGGCTATCATCCAAAAGATAACAAATAACAAGTGTTGGCAAGGATGTGGGGAATCCTTATGCACTGTTGGTGGGAGTGTAAATTGGTGCAGCCACTATGGAAAATAGTATGGAGGTTCCTCAAAAACTTCAAAATAGAACTGCCATATGATCCAGCAATTTCACTTTTGTGTATTTACCCAAAGAAAACAAAAACACTAATTTGAGAAGATATATGTACACCAAAGTTCATTGCAGCATTATTTACAAAGCCAAGGTATGAAAGTAACTTAAGTGTCTATCAATAGATGAATGGATAAAGAAGATATGGTGTATATATACAACAAAATATCACTCAGCCATGAAAAAAATAAATCTTGCTATTTATGACAACATCGGTGGACCTAGAGGATAGTACACTAGGTGAAATAAGTCATATAGAGAAAGAGAAATACCATATGATCTCCTTTATTTCTGGAATCTAAAAAACAAAACGAACAAACAATACAAACCGAAACAGACTCATAGATACAGAAAATGAATGGGTGGTTGCTGGGGGTGGGGGTGTGACATAGGTGAAGGGGGTTAAGAAATACAAACCTCCAGTTATAAACTAAATAATCCACTGGATGTAATATACAGCATAAAGAATATGGTCAATAACATTGTAATAACTTTATGTGGGGACCAATGGTTACTAGAATTATCGTGGTGATCCTTTCATAATGTATACAAATGTCAAGTCACTATACAGTACGACTGAAACTAACATAATATTGTACATCAACTATATTTCAATTTTAAAAATCTTACTACAAAGCTAAAGTAATCAAGGCTGTGTGATACTGGCATAAGGACAGACATATATATCAATGGAATAGAATTTAAAGCCCAGAAGTAAACAATCACATTTAGAGTCAATTGATTTTCAACCAGAGTGTCAAAGCAGTTCAATGGGGAATAGAAAAATCTTTTCAGCAAATGGTGTTGGGACAACTGGATATTCACATACAAAAGAATCAGTCTAGACCCCTATCTCATACCATATACAAAACATAACTCAAAATTCTCAAAGACTGAAATATTAGAGCCTAAACTATAAAGCTCTTAGAAGAAAAGATAGGTGTAAATCTTCATGATCTTGAATTAGATATGACACTAAAAACACACGTACAAAAAAAAGAGAGAGAAAAATTAGACTTTATCAAAATTTGAAACTTTTGTACCTCAAAGGACATGATCAAGAAAGCAAGAAGACAATGACACAATGGGAGAAAATTTTTGCCAAGAATATATTTGGTAAATGACTTGTGTCTAGAATATGTAAAGAGATCCTACAAACCCAATAATAATATGATAAATAACCCAATTTTTTAAATGGGCAAAGAACCTGAATAGACATTTCTCCAAAGAAGATATACAAATGGTCAATAAGCGCATGAAAAGATGCTCAACATCATTAGTCATAAGGGAAATGCAAATCAACATATATGTTCACCTGATTGATGACAAAGGCAACACCTGCAGTAGTACAGTGGGGAAAAGGGGAAAAGATGTTCTTTTCTAAGGCAACTGAATAGCCCAAGAGACAGAATAGATCTTGACTCCCTACCTCACATTCATGAAAATCAATTCTAGGTAAATTATAGGTCTAAATGTGAAAGGTTAAAAAACTAATCTTTTAGGATAAAACTTGAGGTAGGCAAATGTTTCTCACCATGACACAAAATAACGAGTTATAAAGGAAAAAAATGATACGTTGGACTACGTTCAGATCAAAGACTTCTGTTCATCAAAAGACACCATTAAAAGTGTGAAAAGGCAAGCACAGAGTGGGGGAAGATATTTACAATAAAGGACTCACATGGCAGGCTGGGATGCACAATTCAGATTCCTCTTCAAGAGAGGATTCACTGCAGACCTGTGAGGAGTGTGGTTAACTCACAACCTCCTGCTGTTAGCTCCTTCAGGTCCACATCAGCTTTTGAGCCCAGGTCATGTTCTTGTGGTGACTCTTGACCAATGATTGAGAAAGGCACTGATAACCAACCATGTTCTTTGCAGGGTGTTCCTCAACCAAAGATAAACAAGGCATTCGTACAAGGTCCTAGCTGTTTCCACCCCACCATGGGACTCCTCTAATGGGCAGCCTTTGCTCCAGAGCTCCCTGTTGGGCTGTCAGAGAGCTTCAGGTCTACACTGTAGTCTGATGGCCCCCTCCCAATCCTGCTTTCTCTCCTTTTCTTTCACTGGTGCTACTCCACCATAAGCTTTTCATACTACTTACTCCACCTCAGTCTCTGCTTCCCAGAGAACTCAAATCAGTTCAACTTATATCCAGAATACATTAAAAGAACCACTTCACATCAATAAATAAAATGGCAGACAACCCAATAGAAAAACAGGCAACATATATGAATAGGCACTTCATAAAAGAGAATATCCTAATGGCCAATAAATAAATGAAAATGTTCTTATATTAGTTTCCTGGGATTGCTATAACAAATTCCCATAACCTTGGTGGTTTAAAACTACAGACATTTATTTTCTTACAATTCTGGGGACTAAAAGTCTGAAATCAAGATACTGGCAAGGTCACACTTCTTCTGGAAGCTCTGAGGGAAAATCCATCCCTTGCCTTTTCTGGTCTCTGGTGGTTGCTGGCATTCCTTGGCTTGAGGCTGCATCATTCCAATCCCTACCTCCATCTTCCCTCCACCTCCTCCTCTGTGCCTCTCTCTTATGAAGATATCTGTTATATCATTTAGAGCCCACTAGATAATCCAAGATAATCTCTTCATCTCATCCTTAATTTAATCACATCTGCAAACACTTTACTATATAAGATAATATTCACAGCTTCCAGGAATTAGGACCTGATATCTTTTGAGTGCACCATTCAGCCCACTCAATCTTGTATCATTAGTTGTCAGGCAAATGCAAATTAAGATCACAACGTGCTGTTACTTTACAACCACCAGAGTAGCTAAAATGAAAAAGGTGACATCAAGTGTTGGCAGAAATGTGGAGCAACCAGAACTCTCATACATTGCTCATGTAATAAATTGATACAACTATGCCACATAACTGGGTGGCAGTACTAAAAGCTAAGCATAGGCATACCCTAAGACCCCAAAATTCTAGTCCGAGGTATGTGGCAGTTTTAAAACACAGCTGCAAATTCTTTGACACTCCTTTTATCAAAAAACAGATGTCTATATCCACTGCCTTTGAATCACGGAGGGTTTATGACTGTTTTGACCAATAAAGTGTGGTGTTGGTGACACTGTGACTTTTTTTAAAATAATAATTTATTTATTTAGGCTGCACCGGATCTTAGTTGCAGCAAGTGGGATTTTTGTTGTGGCGTGCGGGATCTTTAGTTGCATCACTTGGACTTCTTAGTTGCGGCATGCGTGTGGGATCTAGTTCCCCAACCAGGGATCGAACCCAGGCCCCCTGCATTGGGAGCACAGAGTCTTACCCACTGGACCACCAGGGAAGTCCTGACACTGTGTGACTTTTGAAGCCAGATCATAAAAGGTCTTACAGCTTCCATTTCAATTGCTAGAATACTTTCTCTTAGAGCTCCCAGTCTCCAGGTAAGAAGTCTGACTACATGAGGCCCCCATGCTGTAAGGAAGCCTCAGCCACATGGAGAGACTGTGGACAAGTACCCTGAAGTCCAGTTCCAGTTTAGCCCAGTCTTTGAGTTATCCCAGCCCAGACACCAGATAAGTGAGTGAAGAAGTCTCCACAAGATTCCAGCCCCTGGCCATTGAATCACCCCCAGCCATTTGTGTTTTCCCAGCTGAGGCCCCAGACAAGGTAGAGCAGAGTACAAATTGTACCTTCTGTATCTTATCCAAATTCCTTACCCACATAATCAATGAGTATACTAAAATGAGACTGTCATGCAGCCATAGGTAACTGAGACAATACCTAACAGAAATATGTATATAAATTCACTGAAATATAAATACAAGGATATTCATAGCAGCACTATTTGTACTAGCTCCAAACTGGTGACTACCTCAAAATGCCTATCAGTAGTGGAATAGATTAATAACCTGTGGTATATTCACACAGTGGAATACTACACAACAATAAGAATAAACAAATTACGGGCACACAAAATAATATGGTTGATACCCACAAACATTTAGGGCTTTGAACAACACAATCCAGACACAAAAAACATATATTGATTATTCCATTTATACATAATTTTTATAAATTTAAAAGTAGGCAAAACAAAGCAAATCTATGATGTTAGAAGTCAGGATAGTGGTTACCCTTGAGGGAAGTAGTAGCTAGAAGGTTTATATCCGGGTAGTGTTCTGTTTCTTGAGCTGAGTGTCGGTCACATAGGGTTGATCAGTTTGTGAAAATTTGTCAAGCTGTATACTGTAAATTGCACATTTTTATGTAAATATGTTACATTTCAATAAAAATGGAAAGAAAGAAATTTGTGCCTTGGAAGCCATGAAATAGAGTATTTCAAAGGGAGAAGGATGGACAGCACAGAGACAGTAACTGAAAGATGATGGTCTTGAGGCTTAAAAGAAACAATCTTGGTTCCAAGTTTTCAATGGAACTTTACTACCAAAAAAATCCCAAGACTGGCCTGATATAACTTGTGAGTGTTAATTCAACCCACTCCAAAGTACACTGTAAACCCCAAGTCTGCACCAGCAGAAGCAGACTGAAGACAATGAGGCTCCGAGAAACAGACCTTCCAGTGCCCACACAGATGTGGCCATGGAGGATGAGAGACGGGGAAGAAACTGAGAAGGCAGAGCCACAGCCACAAAGGACCTTTATGTCCTATAGCGTCTCTCCCTTCCTTGTACCATCCAACTGACTGGTACATAGGTGTGAGGGCTGGAGCTCCAGAAGCCACCTTGGACCTTGAGAAAGGAAACCATGGGCTATGAAGCAGTGGGGTGATGAGATAAAAGACCCAGAGAACTTGGCAGTGAACCAGGCAGCGGACCCTACTGCCAGGGCTGGAGGTCTCCGCTATCCTGCTCAACTGCACTTGGTGATTGCTACAGACCAGTGACTGCTGCATGCTGCCCATTCCCCCCTTTTTTAAATGAGAGTTTTAACCACTAAAACCTATTCTCAATCGTTGTTCAGCAGATGGGTTGTCATTTAGTTTATAGGTCACTGGACTATGAAGAGTCACATCTGAGCCTGAAAAGAAGGACTTTGAGCTAGATGTCAGAGGGTGAGACCTCTGAGGTTTCTCTTTTGGAAGATGAGTGTGTTCTAGATGGGGGAAGGGAGTATAAAATGGATGTTTAACAGCCAAAAGACAGACTGTGATAGAGATTTGCTACTTGCCTATGCCAGGAGCCATTGTCTTCCTTTTCCTTATGTCAGAACCACAAATTTAAATGGGAAGGTAGGCAGGAGCGGCGAGGACGGCGGAGGAGGGGGCCATGGCTACGATGGGGGTGCGGAATGGGTGGAAGAGGCGTCTGTGAGGGCGGTGAGGTCTCAGAGGAACATCGTGGGGATCCACGACTAGCATCTGTTCTACAAGACGAGTAACAGCCACCTTCTTTGCCGCTTTGCTGAAGTGGGGGAAATTGATCACATGCACATATTTCTGAGCATATTTGTGCCTTGTTGATTGGGGAAGAACATGGCTATGTCACATTTGTTGTGGAAAAGAAATGTTTTCTTGCCCACAGGGTAATTTTAGCAGTCAGGTGCCAATATTTTGGAGCATTACTATATGGTGGAATGTGACAATCTCAGCCTGAAGTCGAAATCCCTCTCCAGGACACCACTGCAGAAGTCGCAATGCTATTTCCATACATCTATTCAATACACTAGGTAGGCGAGGCTGACAGATAAGAAGGAGGAGGTGGGCTTCCCTGGTGGCGCAGTGGTTGAGAGTCCGCCTGCCGATGCAGGGGACACGGGTTTGTGCCCCGGTCCAGGAAGATCCCACATGCCACGAAGCAGCTGGGCCCATGAGCCATAGCCGCTGAGCCTGCGCGTCTGGAGCCTGTGCTCCACAACAGTGAGAGGCCCACGTACAGCAAAAAAAAAAAAAAAGAAGGAGGAGGTGCTGCTGGACTTTTTGAGCCTGGCTATAATATGGATTTCCAGAGCTGGAGGACTCTACCTCTGAGTACCTCTGCACCATACTTAACACGCAGAATGTCTGTATGACTTTTGATGTTTCCAGTCTCTACTCGCTTCCCAAGTTAACTTGGATGTGCAGCATGTTTATGGACAGAAATGTTCAGGAGGTGTTCTCAAGCCAAGGCTTCCTCTCCCTTTCTAAAACAGCACTTTTAAACGTCGTATTAAAAGATTCATTTGCAGCTCCCGAAAAAGATATTTTCTTAGCCTTGTTAAACTTGTGTAAGCGTAATTCGAAGGAGAATCATGCTGAAATCGTGCAGCCTGTGTGGTTGGCTTTGATGAGCCTCACTGAACTTCTGAATGATGTGAAGCCTTTGGGACTGTTGTCCCCTGATGCCATTCCGGATGCTATTAAAGTTCAATCAGAGAGCCGGGACATGGACCTCAACTATAGAGGCAAGCTCATACCAGAAGAGAACATTGCAACTATGAAGTATGGAGCCCAGATGGAAAAAGGGCAGATGAAGTCGGCCTTATCAGATGGTGACACTCAAAATTATGATTTGGATCATGGATTTTCTAGGCATCTGTTTGATGATGACTGCCATTCCGGCATCGAGATTAAGCCGTGTCAGCCATCCATTAGCAATCATATTCGGATACTCCTGTTGGACCGAGATAGCCGGTCTCATTCATATTCCATTGAAGTGTCAATGGATGAACTTGATTGGATCAGGGTGATTGATCATTCACGATATCTGGGTCGTTCTTGGCAAAAGTGATATCTTCCAGCCCATGTCAGCAGGTATATTCAAATAGTTGGGACTCATAACAGTGAATA